AAGACCGATTCTAACAGGCAAACAATCAATACGAGACGAAAACTCATTCATTTCTATGTGATGAAAAGAGGAAGAGATAGGCATACATACAGTGAGATCATCATGTATAGTGATGGATCCCGACTTCGACATCTGAAGACCCTATGTCATACTAGAGGTGAGGTTGTGAGTAATTATGCAAGGGTTGAAGCTATCTCGAGTTCAATTAATCTGAGAACGAGAAACAAGTCTCAATGATCAAATAGCAGTAAGCGAGCTATTGATGAGTTTCAGCCCCGCGAACTAGAGGGAGAAGTCCAAGCTTGGAATGGGGAAACAAGCGATAACAACAAACAAAGTTCAAAACGTTTATATTTACATTACAAAACCGTCCTTGTGGAGAGTTACCAAATAGCGTACAGAATGAGGTCCTTTTCCAAGTGAGTTCTGGGGATCTGAAATCCTCAGCAAATGATTATTTTGAAGTTTGATATTAGGTGGAAAACGTTTTTGAAGTGGAAAGAATCGGGAATATTAATTCTCTTATGACTGGATTTTTTTACATGATGCATACTGTCTATTCAATAAGTTCATTGAAAGGCTTGACAAAATTAATTGTATGTGATGTGCTATAACGTTATTACTCAATAAGTGATGGTCAGACGAGTCAAGTTGTGAAAAATCTAAAAGAAGCAACTACCACTGCTACATTACACAATTTGATAGTTATGAGAAGACGAAGCTGATCTATACTCATGAGACATGTCCACTCAATACATAAATGATAAACTTTTACCCGAGCATTGATACTGAAAATGGATTGTAGTTATTCACAAAGGTTCGGTATGAAGAAAGATTGTTTCTGAATGTATAAGAGAAGCTTAAATAGACTTTCAATAACCTCCGATAAAATGGAAAAACTTTTCTATTAGGAAATCTATATATGTGTAGTGAGCAGAACACCAGTGAGGACAATCGAATGTATTCGACCACATAATTACAAAGCATCTGAACAAAATCTGAGAACCCTATGAGTAAATGGGTAATTTGCAAAATATCAATCCATCATCTCAAATCTGACCGTTCTGTCGCGAACATCAATTCGTTGTCTCACATTTCATGGTTTATGCGTTTTCATAATAATTGCTTTCCGTTCCGTTCCCTTTCTTTCTCATCGACCTTCTACTGAAATACATTCTATACCTGACCACCGTTATATACTACTCGTGTGAATATAAGTAACCTACACCACATGAGTACTAACAAGGTGAGTTAAATTCAACCTAAATATATATATATATATATATATATATGTTTCAGTCATTTATCTTACTTAGAATGGATAGCATAATGTGACAACTTCCATATATTTTTCACTATACTAGTTTGTTCAAACCAATTGTGTATTCTTTCAGAGCTTCATAAAGAGGCGAATTGTTTCGAAAAGTTTTTCTCAGAAGAGGTATATGTGGATATCATAGTAATTTTTATGATGATCGAGAACATGAGTCAATTGTAGGTGAACCACCATTGAAAACCTAAAAGCACTGCATTTCCGTTTTTCTTTCTAGTATGGGACATCTCATCAGTGCGCACACGCAGTCTTGCCCACGAGATTCTAACCCTGGATCTTCGACTTAAATTCTAGACCATTGAGCAGGTATTCAACGGTGTTAATATCTAAACACAACCAATTCACGAAATTGCGCGACCATCTTTCATTTTGCTGAGTTAGAGAACTGTGTTTACCTGACATGTATTGGCTCCACTGGTCACGGATTCTCACTAGAACTCCGATGAATCCCTCGCGAATCTAGTCACCAGTGAACACATGGTAACTATCAGCATGGAGTTGTGAAGATTCATCTACTGAATACATTTAACTGAACAACTAATATCGATAAATATGGAGTTAGAATAAACAAAACACTGACAGACATAATAGTCACTGTCGTCATAATTTGAATAATACTACACTGAATATGATAAAATAAACGAGTATTTTAACAGCTAATAGAGGTCAAATCTGAAAGATCAATGAAATTCATAAAAATAAAAAAATAAAATCAAACGGCGTACCGGTCAACGACCGACAGGATATTTCTTTTATATTAAATTAACTGAACATAGATTCCTTTTATCAAGCGCGGTTATCCAACATATAGTAGGATAGTTTTACAGCACTTTATATTATCAGGAAGAGTGTGATCCCTTCAGTTTCTGCTTATCTAAGTAAGCGAATCAAGTCGATTAATTTTTTTACCTTAATCTCTTACAACTTTACTAATGTCTATTTACATGATTACATAATTCATCATTGGTTTTCCATTCTAAAGTTTTTGCCTTGCCTCTAAAGCTTCAGTAATTACCCATAATAAAAATTAGCTTTGTTTTTATTATCACTGATTCTCACTACTAATTACTTTTATTCTCATAATACTCCTTCGTTCTGAATACTAAAATAATCATTTGATGTAATTATTTTGACTATCTTGTAATCTTACTAGGTGAAATCATAAGTCAATTGAAGTTACACCGCCATGGAAAACCTAGAAGCAGTGGATGGCCTTTTGTTGTAGTATGGAATGCCTCAGCAGTGCGCATTAACGATCCCGCCTTCCCATGAGATTCGAACCTTTCAGTCTCGCGCGCAAGAGCTTATTTAAGAAACCATAAAATCAATATGTTATACCAGTACATGGTGATAAACTTATTCATCATAAGAAGTTTCATCACACTATTTGTCCATTTACTAAACGTGCACTCATAGTACTTTATTCACAATCTTCAGTATTCACATACAGAGTTCTAGTTAATGACTAACATCTTCAGAGTGAATGTACAAACATCATGGATTTGGAAAAATATTTATCAATCACATAATGGAAAATGTAAGTTAAAGAGTATCGTGTTTATTTCGTATATAAATAATGAATATTTTTGTCTTAACATTTGAATCCGGAAACATTGATCTTACTTGACAATTACATATACTGTAGATCAAGTTTGAACTCATTATAGACAGATAGTGAGACTGTGTCATTCATTCATTCATTCATTCATTCATTCATTCAGTCAGTCAGTCAGCCAATTATCATCAATGTACAGTTCAGGATAGATCATGAAGGCTGGCTTAAATTATCATAACTCATTAACATGGTGAAACGAAACCGGTAGTACAGTATGTCTAAACAGGATCTAATGCAAATGCTTGATCAATCTCTTTAGTATAGGACAGTGTTCAATAAATTTAATAAGATCATTATCATTGTCTAAGGCTTGTTAAACTACCTACTACTTTTGAGGATTTATTTGACAACACAAGTCACAACAACAACACTTGTCTCACACAGATTCGGACCTGCTTCAAATTACTATGATTTAGCCTCTTTTGCTTTTAATAAAATAGATTAGAATGATCATGAATAGATCAAACATCTTACCACTTGTTGGTTATCCTCCTCACTTGATACAAGATGGATAAATATACAATCAAGTTTATCTTTAATTACCTAATGCAACAACAGTTTATAACAATGTTTCTTAACGTTTTAAACTCATAACCTAGATAAAATAATTTCCAACTGTATAGTATAAAAACTGGTACCTTAGGCCCCAGTAGCGTTCACTGAAGATACACCTAAAATATTGAATGAATTAGGAATTAAAATTTTACGATCAACTTGTTAGCGATCCAATGAAATACGATCACTTGTTGAATTGAATCAAGCTTACTCAAAAATCAATATTTGTTTGCTATTTATAAAATCATTTTCCTCTAATTATTCAATACTGATCAATCAAACATGACATGGATCAAACATGATATACATCATGAAGCACTATAGACAATATTTTAGTCCAACACAAGGCCATTGATCGTCTGAATTGTTCAGTGGTGACATCTTATACTGTGAAGTGATATGATACGAATCGGAATCCATTAGGCAGAATCAATTCCATTTCTTCTGATAAGTGTAGAATATCAGTATAACAGCTTTCAGGGTTTTCTGTTAGTTATGATATTATCCAGAATACTATCAAAAGTAATGGGCTGCAAAAAATGTTCATTTTGTTACCGATAGTTCGTGAAGGATATGGTAGGGAAAAGAAATGAACAGAATACTTCTGTATACGTACACGTTGTAGGAAAATTCCAAAGATCATTTTCTCAGCTTTACATGGTTATCGGTGATGCACACACCGTGAAAGCTTTATCGGCATCCAATATACGGACTATATATTTAATCTCCCATCGATTTTAATTCAATTTTTTATTGCATGGATCACCTCGTAGTTTGCATTTTCACTGGACTTTGATCAGACTTAGTATATGCAAATTCTATTCAAATTATCTAGGTATATTTATTGTCACAAGTTTTTATAGAATAGATGTGGTGTGTTTAGCAGTGGAATCCAGCAAGTTACTTTTATCCTATTCGGGACTCATCATCTGGATGTACTTGTATCCAAACAGTGAATGTCCAGTTCGAAAGACACTATATACTACTAATAAGGCAAAAAAATAATCAGGGCGGTTGATGTTGTTAGAGGACCAAACGAAACCATTCAGCACTTGGTTTGGGTCTACGTGCTGTAGGTGAATACACTTTCTGTCTTCCGTTGAAATATGAAATTGAAATCGCTTCACATCTATCTTTCTACCAACTAATTCATTCTTCCTGTACTATATCCTAATGTACAATCTTTCTTTCATATATTACTAACATTGAAGTAAGTAGTTCTATGAATCGATGCATAGATATACCTGGTACTACGTTGTGACTGACTGACTGACTGATCCAGCTTCAACGGTTGCAGACTTACAAAACCAATCTCTGAAAAATAAGTTATTTGTCAATGTCATGATACGTGTGTCTTTGTGGAATACAATCTTTGAACAAATCATTCCAGTCAATTTGATTTGTTGTAATTTCATGTACAATCAAAATGTTCTTTTATGTCTGTTTGACTTTCCGACGAATATTGTTAATCCAGGAACTTAATTCAAGAGCCAAACGTCTATTTAACAAAACATCTATTACAAATAACAAAGCCATTTACAATAATCTTCAAACATATAAAAACATTCAATGAAATACCATCTATTCATCATAATCAATCATTGTCTCATTCAGTCTTCCCACTGTTCCAATGACAATCGATGAATGAATTCAAACTAAATTGTGAAAGGACAATTAGGGCTATGTATTCATAAAACCATAAGAAAATAATGTACAGAACATGAGACTGTTCTTCTTTACCGGATCTACACAAATAATATGCTGTGCATACAATCACCTGTAATAATCAAAACATAGATGATTAATTCATTAGTATCAGAAGGGATTGTAGCGTGGCGTCGAGTTGAGGTTAACTATGAACACCGCTACAAAGAAACACGTGCCAAGTTAATCAGAAGGCGAAGGTTGGACGTAACCAAATAAATCCATAAAATCCCCGAGAAGCCAAATATCAGAAGACAGTTAATGGACCAAATCGATATGTATTCGCTGGCGATCTCGTGGCATCGAAAGGATACCGAGATCGTGCCAGAATACAAGCTTGGTTACAGAACGTAACCGAATTCGCGCGAAGTTACAATCAAAGTGTGAGTTAAAGAATGGAAGCAAAATATAGCTGTCATTAGCACAGTCAAATAAAAGCACATTAAAACAAGCACTGGTACAGTTGGTTATAATAATAATTGTTTCTATTAAACCAGTCGTGTTCTCGTGATAAATGTGAGTCACTACAGGATTTTGGTGGATATTATAGTAGTATTATAATAGTTCGCGCACAAGATCGGTCAATGGACGGTTATTGGTATTTACATTTTATTATTTATTCAGAACTTACAATTAACATCGCACACCACCAACTTATCCAGGATGCATCTAGTACATAATGCTGGAATAAATGAAAGAAAACAATTCACTTCAATTCATCATGTATATATATCAATATCAGTTAAGAAACAGTATTAATCTACTAATTAACTCTACCGATTTTAAACTAACATGTAGCTGACTGACTGACTGATTTGATGTAAGAGTTCATTCAGTCTGTTTTCCTGAATTTCGACATCATTTATCCATCCTGTCTCATGCTTGACAGTTGTCAAGCAACGAATTAGTTTCGTCAACGACTGTATCATGAAACATTCAAGTTAGTGATTCTAGGAATATGAAATCATTGATTGAATATGTATTATAATGGTTTCGTTGTAATTACCATTTTGTTACAAAATCATATGTATATAAATAGTACTGAGAATCAACATTACAAATTATAATATTGTTTCATGATGATTTGTACCAACAACATACAGTATAAAACGCACAACCAATTGCAAATGTTTACCAGTTTCAGTTCATTTGTAAAGTTTGTTGAAGCAAACGTGCATGACGCTAGATGTTGAAGATATTCTAAATCGAGTTCATGGTTCTAAAGTGTTCTCGAAAGTTGATCTAAAAGATGCCTATTTTCAAATCCCTTTAGATCAATCTTCATCTATTTTGACGACGATTAACACTCCTTTTGGTCTGTCCAAATACAATTCCCTTCCATTTGGTCTACGTTGTTCTCCAGCCATATTTCAGGAAGTTATGAATGAAGTAGTTAATGATGAAGAAGGTGTTGAAGTTAATCAAGATGATCTCATTGTTCATGGTTCTGATAAGGTAGTTCATGACCAGAGATTTATTGCCTTATTACTTCATTTAATTGAGAAGAATATTACAGTGAACCCAAATAAATATTCATTTTGTGTATCTAGTTTTGACTGCCTTGGATACCTAGTTGATGGTCATGGTTTCGAACCAGATATGAAACGACTAGCTCCACTGACAGATGCACCGTCTCCAAAAAATCTTACGGAATTACGTTCACCAGTGATCGCTCTTCAGTACTATTCCCGTTTTATTCCTAGTTTTTCTTGTCGTGCAAATTGTTTATTTAATATTTTGAAATCCAATTCCTTCAAATGCGGTGAGGAACAAGAGTCATGCTTACGAAGTCTACTAAAGTTTCTTCAAAGTGATGCTGTTCTTCAAACGTACTCCCCTAATGTACATTCTGTACTTATTACTGATGCATCACCTGTGGGCATTGGTGCATTTTTGGAACAGGAAGGTAGATCAGTCATTTGTCTTTCAAGCAAACTTACTGTTACTGAAAAAGGTTATTCGCAGACTAAGCGAGAAGCATTAGCCGTGTTTTGGGCTGTTAAAAGACTTCATAAATATTTATTCGGAAAGAAATTCACTATTGTTACAGATCATGAAGCTTTAAAGTTTATTTATCATCCCGAAAAATCCTTAGCAAGTTCTTCAGCTGCTATGGTTCAACGATGGAGTATTGCTTTGAGTGCATATGAGTATACGGTTCAGCACAGAAGTGCCAAACAAATTCGAAATGTTGACTACATTTCTCGACAGCCATTACAAGATAGACCTATAAATACTTCGGACTGTTTGTTGGTGCAATCTTTACCAGTGAGACGTTCAGATCTCATTATAGAAACTGGCAGATATTTTGGAAGTATACTCAGTGCTATATGGAAAGGCTGGAATGCTAATTTGAAACGTAGATTTCCTGTCTATTTTTCAAAGCGGAATGAGCTATCCTCTACTCCTGATGGCATTTTGTATTTAAATGATCGTGTTGTCAGTCCTCCTTCATTGCGTAAATCTGTTCTTGAAGATCTTTATAGTGGTGATTAAGGTGTTGAAAAAATGAAGTCATTGACTAGGCTCACATATTGGTGGCCAGGGATAAATGCAGATATATGCCGTACGGCAAACAATTGTGAGAAATGTCATCAGTTGAAAAATCAGCCTTCGTAGTGGATGTCATGGCCAGTATCGCCCGACGCCTGGCAGAGAATTCATGCTGACTATTGTGTTCCGTTTCTTTGCAAATATTATGCACAAGTAGTTATTGATTCGTTCTCAAAGTGGCCTGAAGTTTTTTCACAACTTCACCAAATTCTGATTTCACAATACAAGCATTAAGAAAGGTGATTAGTCGAGAAGGGATTCCTATGGTGTTAGTGACCGATAATGGCTCTCCCTTTGCTGCAGATGCAGTCACCACCTGGTTGAAAGGTATGGGGTACAAACATCTGTTTATTGCTCCCAGACATACTTGTTCTAATGGTCAGGCAGAAAACTTTGTTAAGACATTAAGGACCGCTATTGATTTTATTGCCGCCTTAAGATTTAATGAGCTGGAGAGGGGAGTAGACACCTTTCTATTGCAATATAGAAATGCCAGACATTCAGTGACGAAAGAGACTCCAGCGAAGCTATTGAAAGGAAGAATTCTTCGGTCGAATATGAGTTGTTTGGAGTCTGCAAAAGTTACATATTATTGTGGAAATGACCTTCGACCATCCACAGGGATTGTTCTTAAGAATGTCAGAAAATCAATGATGCGAATTCTAGATATCAATGGCTTAAGTGCACACAATCGACATGTTGATCAAATACAATTTCAGGAACCAGGTGTGTCAATTCCAATTTCAGTTGTTAATTCTAATGGTAATGAGTACATCCTAGATAATACAGAGTCCTTATCTAACAAACTGTCCGACAGAAACAAGATGAACTTGAGGAGAAGACGTACAATTGATTACAGACATCTAGACTCCAATTTAAGCTGTGGCGGATGTGTTGATTGAATGAACTAATGATTCCTTTGTACTTGTTGCATGCTTGAGTTCGAATTCTAAATACAGTGAATTTGTTCGTGCTTGTCTGCTTCTTTTGGACTCAGTCGCGTTATTTCTGGTATTCTTAGTTCATACTATAATTCAAATACTTCTTAATATCACAGGGACTTAACCGTCAAGGTTGGAATGGACAACACCGGATGTGAACACATGATGGGATGACATGAACTAGGAGAAAGAAACGAAAATTATGAGAGATTTGCAAGCCTATTGCCTTCAATAAACTGTTCATAGGCGGCACCATATTCCCACACAAATTCATACACAAAACCACATGGACTTCACCGGATCACACTACACAAGACCGAATTGACCATATCTACATCAACAAAACGTTCAGGAGGACGATGGAGGACGTGAGAACCAAGAGAAGAGCTGATATATCATCAGATCATCACTTGCTGGTCGCCAAGATGAATTGAAACTCAAGAAGCACTGGGCAATGGGGCGGACAATATCACAAAAGTTCAATCGGGCCTTTCTTCAGGATACTGACTAACTCAACAAATTCAAGATAGCGCTCAGCAATAGGTTCCAGGCCTTTCACGATCTACTCAATGTAGAGGGAACTACTATGAAGAGCAACTGAAATGGGATAAAAGAAGCAGTCACTTCAAAATGTCATGAGGTTCTGGGCCACAAGAAGCACCAACACAAGGAATGGATTACTGCAGATAAATTGGATAAGATTCAAGAAAGGAGGAACAAGAAGGTGACAATCAATATCAGCCGAACAAGAGCAGAGAGAGCCAAGGCGCAAGTTGAACACACAGCAGTAAACAAACAAGTGAAGAGGAGCATCAGAACCGACAAACGTAAATATGTGGAAGATTTAGCAACGACGGCGGAAAAGGCTGCAAGAGAAGGAAACATGAGAAAATTGTATGACACGACAAAGAAACTCTCTGGAAATCGCCGCAAACCAGTGAAAAGCAAGGAAGGCGAGGTAATCACCAACATTGAAGAGCAACAAAACAGGTGGGTAGAACACTTCAAAGAACTCTTGAATCGACCAGCTCCACTGAACCCACCCAACATCGAAGCAGCACCCACGGACCTCCTAATCAATGTTGGCACACCAACAATTGAAGAAATCAGCATGGCCATCAGACAAATCAAGAGTGGCAAAGCAGTAGGACCAGACAATATTCAAGCAGAGGCAGTGAAAGCAGACGCAGCGGTAACTGCAAGGATACTCTACATTCTCTTCAGCAGGATTTGGGATGAAGAACAAGTACCAAAAGACTGGAAGAAGGGCTTCTGGTCAAAATTCCAAAGAAAGGCGATCTCAGCAAGTGTGATAACTACAGGGGCATCACTCTTCTCTCAATACCAGGAAAAGTCTTCAACAGGGTATTATTAAACAAAATGAAGGACTGCGTGAACGCCCAACCTCGAGACTAACAGGCAGGATTCCGTAAGGATAGATCGTGTACAGACCAAATCGCAACTCTACGGATCATTGTGGAACAATCAAATGATGGAATTCATCACTCCATATTATTCATATTTACTACGAGAAAGCATTTGACAGCGTGGACAGAACAATACTATGGAAGATTCTTTGACCCTACAGCGTGCCTGAGAAAATAGATAATATCATACCGGATTCCTATAATGGACTGAAGTGCAAAATCGTGGACGGAGGACAGTTGACAAAGTCGTTCAACAAAAGACCGGTATCAAGCAAGGTCGCTTACTCACACTCTTTCTCTTTCTCCTGGTGGTCGACTGGATCATGTGGACGTCAACATCTGGGTAGGAAGCACGGGATACAATGGACATCTAGGATGCAACTGGACGATCTAGACGTCTCAGATGATCTGGCTCTTCCGTCGCACATGCAACAACAAATGCAGGAGAGGAACAGCATTGAAGCATCAGCCGAAGCAGCAGTAGGTCTCAAAATACTCTGAGGAAAAAGCAAAATTCTTCCATAAAACAAACACAGCATGCACCGATGCAATCAAAATTGACAGAGAACATTTGAAAGATGTTAAAACCTTCACGTATTTGTGTAGCATCATTGATGAACACGGAGGGTCTGATGCAGATGTGAAGGCAAGGATCGGTAAGGAAATAGCAGCATATTTACAACTGAAGTACATCTGGAACTCAAAACAGTTTTCTGTCAAACAACACCAAGGTCGCGATGTTCAATAGAAATGTCAAAACGAGTCTACTGTACGGGGCAGAAACCTGAAGAACTACGAAAGCCATCATTCAGAAGATTCAGGTGTTTATTAACAGTTGTCTAGGCAAAATACTTTGGATCTGTTGGCCAGACATTACACTGTCAGCAACAACCTGCTGTGGGAAATATTACTCCAAATTTCAGCGGAGGAGGAACTGAAGAAGAAGCGATGGAAGTGGATACGACACACATTAAGAGAAGCATTCAGCTGCGTCGCAATGCCGGCCCTCATCTGGAATCCTCAAAGCCAAAGAAGAATAGGTAGACCTATGAATAAATTACTCCAAGAAATTCATGAGAAGAACGAACAAAAACTGGATAGAACTAGAAAGTAAGGCTCAGGACAGTGTGGGTTGGATAATGCTGTAAGGAGGCCGTTGAAACACTGAGAGTAACAGCCGTAAGTGTGTAAGTAAGTAAGTAACTTGATGAAAGTATCAAGGTTGGTAAAAAACACTATGATTTTCACTACGGCAGCGAATAAACGTTCAGTGTAGTTGAACATGTATTAGAAGCCAAAGAATTGTTTGGAATATTCCTCAATGAAATATAAATTGAAAATGTATTTCTACTTCGGTGTAGAAAACTGTTGTGTCCCGATAAGAATAATGAGTGGTAATGTTTTGGTATCAAGTTATGGACAAACACTATGCGCATATTTTTGTCGTATAATCTTTAATTAACTAAACTATTCATATTCATGTCTCTGTTATCATGAGCTTAACGTTAACCTTTAAACTGCTATGATACGGCTTTCCATTCTTGAGTTATTCCCTGTCTCTCAATTAGTATCTCCCACAATCACAGCCACATCTGGCTAATTCTTGTACAAGCGTTGTTTCCTGTTTTATGTTACGATGCGGTTTGTTTGATTGATATATAAACAGAGCATGTTTCAAATACATGATTCATATTGCACAGTCTGAGACTGTCTGGGCTAGGCGGAAAGCAGGATCAATCAGGACTCTAGGCTGCTCGCATGTGTTTCACGCGTCCTTGGTCCGATCGATAGTTCGCTGCTTCTGATTGGCGGCTTTGGCACTATGACGGAAACATGTCACCGGAATTCACGATCAGCGTATTTTGTTAGAAAAACTGTAGCTATTCGAGTAAACCATTAGCAAATCAATAATAATCACTAATTACTACTAGTTTGTGGAGATCTATGATTAGACAAACTTACCTTGGTAATTGCCCTGCCTATAATCAATAAAATGATTCCAACTCCCCAATAACACACCATATCGAGAACAAGATTATCTCCAATTTTCTTTTTTGAATTATTAGCTTTACACCCAATAAAAGCGCTAAGCTGGCCAACATGGTATCCACAGTTACAGAAATAATTATTTCATACCATTTTGTATGTAAATTTAGTAATCCAACACCAATAATCAAAATTATAAACTGAATAGGGAAAAAGTAGTATCATCAAATTACCATTAGTTTTAAAGTTGAATCGGTCAACTATTGGACAATTATTGAAAGAATAATCTTCACTGTCCTGCATTTGATTGAAATGCTTAACAATGAATAGTTATGGATACAAGCACATAACAAGGAATCCCTATCCATGTCTATGATATCACATGACCATTTTATATCAGGTTTCTCACCTAAATGGTGTGAATTATACCAATCTGGGTAAACCAACAACTACGACAGCTAGTAATGTGTCTGCGACTTGAAGCACCAAATGATGATTTGCGTATCATAGAACACAAGTTCAGTGATAGACAAAGTGTGTGTGGATGATTATACAAATGAAAATGACACAAATTCAATATGTTTAGTTATTCGGTGTTTACAATTCATTCCACATCTTGCAAATGGTTATCACGAAAAACGTAGATGAGAGTAGAATGTACCGGTATTATGTGTAGCCATGCCTACTCATTTCTCAGTTGTCCATTACATGAACAGACAAATACCTTTTAATGTTATATTATTTTCGCCAGTTATCAGTTAAGTAATAGCTCATGATCCGACCGGATCATCAATATACGTCAACATTTTTATGAAATCAGTGAAACTATAAAAGCTGGGTCTCTACACATGATGTCGTCTTAAAATAAATTACAACGATCAGACC